GCAAACTTCAGAAGTAAATTACCTATGTTTAGGCATCATTAATGTTAACTAATAACCAATTCTACTTAATGTGCTATCAAAAAATGGCACATCTATGTTTATTCCCCAACTTAAACACAGCAGCACTTGAAATATTATTAGCTTGTATGCCTCAGTGCTAAGTATTTTGTTAATACAATGAATTACTAACCAAAGTCAATGCTAACATTCCATGCTAATGAAGTAAAAACAAGATCAAGATTAATAGTATCATTTAGAGCTCCAGGAGTTTGGTGAGCTCAGTTGCAAAATTATTTTTGGAATGTTTTTACTGATTTACCTTAAACACACAAACGTGAACAATGAAATTGGTGGTAGGTATAATAAGAAAACCTGCCAATTCTTCTGCTTGTCTTTGACAAGCCAATTTGCATAAAATGTTCACTGTTATCTTTTTATCTACATCCCTTGAAAATTTCAAATTTTTTTGTGTGTGGATTTCAGCAATACAGTTCATAGCATTAGCATCTTCATATAGATAACTGTTCCTAAAACCAATCCTCCACGTGAACAGCAAAAGTCTCACAAGCAGTTAGGCATAAAGGTAACCATTGCAGAAGAAACACCTTTTCCAGTTCTTAAAGAGAAGGGCCTTTTTTGTTCAATTTAAAAGCTGCAGAATAAGCAACTGCAACTAGGTATGTACTGAACATACAGCACTGAAAGGTGAAAAAAGTTATTTATGTACAATCATTTGCAATATACATCACCAATGTCTTTAGAAACAGAATAAAAAAAATATTTTTTTTAATATCCTGGTTTCAGCTGTGTTCTCAGACTCCTGTTACCAAACCATATTTTAGATTACTTAAGCAGCCTTTCTAGTCATTGTTGGCTGTGTACCAACACTAAAAATAATTAATTTACAAATCTTTACAAGAAGATTATGCCCCCCAAAGAGATCAGGATCAAGAAAGATGATGATAGAAAATAAGAATATACTTGGACAATATTTTTTGAAAAGCTAAAAGAAAACACTAGCAGTAGTTCAAGTAGTAGTAGTAGACCTATAGTTCTGACAGTACAACTTCAACATATTAATATCAGCTGGTGCTAAAAAGCTCAAAGCTCAAACATATAACATAGAAAACTACTTAGAAAAGCTTAGCTATTTGCTGACCTGGAACTTTACAGGCTGTGCTCTCTGGCAACAAATTCTAACCTAGTAGATGGGATTCTTCCCTCAATGTTTACAGAATGATGTTCTGCTATACTATTTAACTAGTTCAGGAAAAAAAATAAAAATTTTGCATATTAAAATATAAACGCTCAACTGAAATGAAATTCAACAACAACAACAGTGAGCAAATGATGTCCAAAACAGGAGATACAATGGTTCAGAATTATGTGGCAAAAGTCATCCTCATCCAAGTTTAACTTTCTTTTAAGGATGTTCTTTTACAACAAAGTACTTAACACAGTAACTTCACTTGTAGCAAGTGTTAATACAACACAGTCAATTTTTTTTCTCTCACCTACACAGTCTGGAACATAAGACACTGACAACAAAACTGTTAAGAAATTCTCAAGGATCAGGCCTTGTATTCTGAGCCATGTCCAACATACTAACCTTTGCCTTAATTTCATATTGTTTATAAAATTAGCAGTGGTTCGAATAATCAGTAAGAATGAAAACCAAATGACTGCCCACTAGTTTCACAAAAAAATAGGGATTCATATGTGAGACTTCTTATAGGACAGAGAAATCATTCCTCTTTCATGCCTTTCACTGCCTAAGAATGAAAATTAGAGCAAGAGTATCCATAAAAGCATTAAAGTAGTACAGTATTCTAACTGAATGGCAGCTGAATATGAAAATAAACCCTAATGGAACTGTTACCACAACAGAAGGGTAGGATGTTCATTTGTTTAAAACTCATCTCCAGTCTCACCCATAATGACACAGCTCTCAGTTATACCATAAACACCCACTTCCATGAAAAGGTAACGTTTTTTGACGACTTAGGCATTTTGTTTTAGGTTAATATTTCTATAGCAGAGATTCAGAAAGAAATAAGGCTGTGAATGACAAGTTTTTGCTGTAAGTTTAGGTCTGCTAGGGCACTGCTAGTGACAACTGTTTTTTTGATTGGGTATACCTTTACCAATAAGGCTCAGAGGATTACAGAGGCAAACTGTCTCTTCTGCTCATCTAGGTATCTGTTTGGAAAAATATCATGGGATCAGATATTGAAAATACCAAGGTCAAAACCAGAATAGGTTTCTATATAGTCCAGAAAACAATGACACTTCCCAACTCTCAGAATGAAAGAGCTTAATAAATGATCACAGATTCTCTTAAGCCCTAGAAAAACTGATATTCATCACTACTATGCGTTGGACACAGCAAAATAATCCTATGTTGGCCAAAGTTTTAAATTCTTCTACAGAGAAAAGTAATAGCAAACTGAAGCAAAAGGAGGCATAAAGAATACTTGAACTCATCTGGCTTCAGGAGATGGCTACACAAAACTTAACACATGGGTTTCCATTTCACATCTAACTGCTTCTGAGTTTACCACCTGAACTTGCAAACTATGCAAGTCTGGAAGAAATAGTTCCAGGTTCACACTAAACAAGACAGCTATGGGTAGATATACTCAGGAATAATAC